GTGTGTGTGTGTGTGTGTGTGTGTGTGTGTGTGTTCTGTAGCTGCACTGAGCATGTATTAATGTCTGCATAATTTGTCTGTGTTTGAAGGAGACAGAATGAGAGAAAGTGTTTTGTGTGTTTGTGTGCGTGTGTGTGTTCAGTATGTTGTACATGAACTGTCCCACTCAGGCTTCTCCTGCTTCTTCTTATTAACCTCTTCTTCTTCCTCCTCCTCTCCCTCCTCATCACTCTTATCTGATTCAGCAGTTGTCATGCCTCCCACCAGCTCAACGTCTTCTTCTTCATCCTCCTCCTCACATTCTTCTCCTCTCACAGCTTTTCCCAGCGCCTGGGGGCCTCTCATGTCCTAGAGAACAAACACACATCCTAAATCTAGGCACAGGGGCTTGTGGGTAGTCCAAGTCATGGCATTAAAAAATAACTGAAGGAGTCAAATGCCCACACTGAGTCACAGTTACCTCCATGGGGTTGACGGTGATGTTGAGTGCAGAGCTCTCCCAGTCCATCTCAGGCTCTTTCATATCGTCCTCGTCGTCTCTGGAACCTTCTTGATGTGTGGCGTGGATCCTGTAGATGCCGATCACCACGATCACCACCAGGGCCGCGATGCAGACCACAATGACCACCGTGGCTGCAGGAGGCGCTCCCCCTTGGATAAAAACACAGCACATAGAGTTTACCCACTCTCTTCATTATGTGTGTGATTTTAGATTTTTATAATCGCTTCAATAAAAGTGAAAAATCCTTCAAAATGATCTCATTCGACTGCTGGGATGAAGCAGCTTCAGTTCAGCTGTTTTTATATTTATTCAGTTTGAAGAACGACACACAGACAGTTCAAACATTTGAACATTGTCCACATGGTTTTCTGCTCATTGGAGAAAAAGATTTGGTATTAAAAAATTAATCACATCTGTCACAGGACTGAACACTCCAAGGAGTGCAGAGTGAAATCAGCTCTTGACATTTGGCTTGTTCCCTTTGTTTTTCTTCTTCTGAGGTCTGGTTTGTAATCTGATGTCATTTTGTTGCATCCATTTCTGCAACTCTGGAAGAAGAAAAACGCTGGCCTGTACATCCTTTCTTTATGAAGCAGACATTAAAACTGTCTGTGTTTATATAGATATAGTATGTGTTTTTCTTATATTTGGTTAAACATTCTGACACTTTTACTAAGAAACTTTTACATTTAGACACCTGCCTCACAACTATAAATCTTTTTATTCTCTTTAACCACCTCTTCAAAGTGGACGCAGAAACAACTGATTGTCTTGTATTAATTCACCTGTCAATGTGTCTAAAAGTTTTTCACAACATAAGTAAAAATATCCCAAAGTTGCATAAATGCAATAATAAACTATTTAAAGACATAATAAGGGAACATTAAGTAATCATGAAATAAAGCTTTGATTAGTAAAAACGGCAGAAAAGCGTTGTTTAAAGGAGTGAGGTAAAGAAGCCAGACAGCAGCTGAAGATGTTTTTTGAAGACAAAATATGAAATATTTGATCCTTTTAAATATTAAACAGTTTTCAGCAGAACGCTGCTGGCTCTGCTCCTTACCTGACATGTGTGAGTTAAGCGTGTGGATCATGAGTGGGTGATGGACAGGTCTCATGTACGGGGGCGGGGCCGCCATGTGATTGACATGCTCCACAGGCGCCGTGTGGTGAAGGACACTGACCTAAAGAAAACAGGAAAAAAAAAACCCGATGCAAAGTCATTTTTTCAGAGATAATTTATTTATGATGATTAATAATTAAAGAGTTAGCATTCCTTGAAGAAATCCTTATCACACACTGCCTTTTAGGCCAGAGTTTTAAAAAGAGATGGTCTTATGATAAAAAGCAACAATGCATCATTTTTTTGGGTAAATCTTGTAAATGACATCACATGCAAATATAACACGTAAGAACCCAGAATGTTTAAATAAAAGGTGAAATCTTGCCTCCATATTGAACTCGTTGCTGGTGTATCGCCCGTTGAGTTCAGAGCAGGTGAGTCTGAAGCTCCTCTCAGTCAGCGTGGCAGGCCTCCAGTTCCTGTAGCGCAGCTGCCTCAGTGCCTGCTCATAATGGGCCATGGAGTCCACACCTGCTTACAGAAAAACTCAGAGTCATCCCACAGTCCAGCACTTTTTATTCGTGGTTGAACATCAAGATTTAAAATCTGAGCATCAAGGAGTGTTTTCCTCTCAGGTTTCCCCACCGTATATTGATATTCCAGATGTGGAGTTGGTGGCATCAAGATGTTTTCCCAGCAGAGCGCTGTGATGGATCTCTAGACTTTCTCTTTCAGGATTCAGCTCATCCCCGATCACCAGAACATCACAGTAGTCCAGGTTGTGCATCACCTCCATCACACCGGGCCTGTGGGCTGCACACACACACACACACACACGTGGGAAACAGATTACTAACATGACAAACCAACGTACAGTTTATCAACAAAGTAGCTGCTAAAACAAGCTTGAACAAAAACCCAGAGTCTTTTCAGGACTCACGTCTGCCGAATGCGTCTCCCTTGATGACTGTGCTGGTGATTCGGAGCTCCTTGAAGGGAGCCACACCCAGCGGGCTGCGGAGGTCGCTGGCTGGCCTGACGTGCTGCTTCGATCCTGTGATGGTAATTCTGGGTTCACTGGGCGCCAGCACCACGACCACTGCTCTGATGTCCGGGATGGAGAGACACGTTTCCTCCCCGAAACACCTGACACACAAACAGAGAATGAGAGGAGTCTTTAAACTACCTGTGTTGGAATTAATTGATGATGATGTGTTTGACACCAAGAGTAAATGTGGGGTTTTTGGTTATTGGTTGCAAATTTAGACTTTTTCCTTTACATTACTCCTAGTTGTCGATTTAAAACATTAGTTCTGAGGTTTCACTGAATATCATGATGATAACACAAACTGTGATCAGAAAATAAAGAAAAGAAAACATTTTGGAATTTAAAAAAATCCATGTGTAGCATAAAAACATTTTTTCTCTAATCAGTGAAGGCAGATTTAACAGATCATCTGAGCGATTTTATCAGCTTTTCTTTGATCAACAGCAGCTTTACAGAGTCTAACATTAGTTGTTGCTCACTTCACTTGATCAAACAACTAAAAACTTATCTGAGCTCCACCTTCATTTAGAGCAAGGGTGTCCAAACCTTTTCCATGAGGGCCAAAATGAAAATCTATTCGAGGGCTGGGGGCCAAATGCAATAATATATTACATGAAATGCAAATACTTTTTTAATGATTAAGCTAGCAGCCAGTGCAGTACCCATCCAGAAGATCTGCTGGATTCAATTCAGCCAGTTCAAATTCAGTTTAACAGGAGACTCATAGAAACAAAAACAAATAAAGCTTTATGCCCTGAACACACAGCGGCACACTTTAATAGTTTTTACACTAAAGCTCCAATCTTTGCCATCTCACTGACAGCTCAATGACTTGAAGTCAACACATCTGCTTCTCTTTCACACACTTTGCTTTAAATAAACAATACTAGATGCTATATTAGCTTTATTTCTCACAGGACAATTAAAAAATAAACACATGTAAACATGTTGTGTGATAATGAGCTCTTGTACTGCAGAGAAACATCTTACACTCTGCTATAACAAACACACAACTGATAGGTAATCAAAGAGCGCAAAACATCACAACTCATTAAATGCTGAGCTGTATTCAGCTCGCAGTCACCAAAAATCAAAGTAAATCAAGAATGAAGCAATAATATACAGCTGAATGCAGGGCGACACGTTTGTTGTCTTATTTGGCAGAACACAGTTAATGTGAGTGAATATAAAGAAATTTGTTCTAAAATAAGGTATATTTACAGATAAAACCCACATTGCATATAATAGAGCTCAATTTCAAGTAGTTTAACCATTTAAACAAAGACACTGCTCCCTGGGCCAAAATGGACTTTGATTTTACAGCAATACACAGCAAGCTTTGGATATAATGCAAGGGACTCGAACTGCTAAAAAACGTATGTGTCGCAATGTTGTGCTGATTTATCCTCGTATGACTCAGTGAAAAACAGCACAGATGACAGATGATTTTTGAACAATGCATGCCATTGATTCGTCATATGTTCACAGACTTTTGGCCGTTTCTTTGTTAGCAGGTGTTAGCCATTAGCTGTTAGCGATCTGGTCTTTTATTCTGTTTTTAAAAAGAAAATGTTAAGCATTCACAAGTTCTAAGTTCTCTTATTTAATAAGATTGTGGTAATAATGGTTATTACCGCAATAAATTTTTGCCTTGGAAACAGAAAGAAATTGTATTTTTCTATTGTCTTGCTAGTTTTCGACAACAGGTAAAATGTCAGGTTTGTGATGACATTTTTAGTATCTTGAGTGTGTTTAAAATATTATTCTGCCACTCAGCCTCATATTCTTTGGTGAAGTACTGCCTACTGCACCTGGCGTGTTACAGACAGGCAGAACAATGTCAATATGCATTCTGCTGTATTTTTATTTTGGAAATAAAAAACTTCTGTCAAACCCAAATCTTTTGTTTCTTTTTCTCACTATTGTAAGTTTTRTAGCAACAATGCTTCATTAATAAAAAATTTCTGCTGTTTTATTTTATTTTTTTAATCGGTGCAAACCATGAAGACATCACTCTTTTGTATTGTATTACTGCTTGACTGAGGTCCAGGTACTTGCTGATGTCACATAATGTAGGGAGATATTTTTAGTAACCCTGACCAATGCTGCCTTAGTTTAACAACCAAAGTGTAGTTATGGAGGGAGCGGAAAGACAGTCTGTCTTAGAGTTGTTAAGGGAAGCTGCAAATAGTTTCCCTCTCAAATTAGGTGCTTTCTGAAATGGCCAGCAGTGCGGGGCACATGGATCCTGATCCTTCCTGTCTGTTGACCAATAGGAAAGGAGTTGACCCACCTTGTTTGCATGAGGCAGTAATGCATAAGTTAAACAGTAACTTACCCCAAAATTAACTTTTTTTATCTGATAAACTGTCTAGAATGTGTCTAAAATGTTATACAGTACTGTTTCTGTGCTAATTTTGATGTTTTTGTGTGTATTTGTTCAAATCTGTAATATTTGGTCTAAAAACGTGTTTTTGCTGCTCATATGGGTAGAGCAGTGGTTCTGCAGGCTAATTTGCTTATTGGTTAACGGCTCTCCTCTGTGACGTGTCTTCTCCACGGTTTCGTCACAGCGGCTGTGTTCTGGTATAAAAGCCTCTCTCTAAGACACGCCCCTGCAGCAGTCAGAGGGTGGAACAGTTAGCAAGCTTAGCATGATCGTCTGTTGACCTTCAGCACACACACACACACACACACACACACACACACACACACACACACACACACACACACACACA